AGTTGTTTAGTTATCAATAACTAAAAGATGGAATTTATAACAAACAAATCCAACCAGTAACCACATATTAATAGACTGGAATGTCAACACAATCAGTTATATTTCAATTAACCAGATATTGCAGACCATAAAAATAATTACTGAAGGCTGCTGCCAAGCTGAACATTAAATCTATCATCTATGTATCTTGTCTTAATTCCATCAATTTTCTCTCATTGAAGGTCTTCAAAGACAAAGCAACATGTTGCCATCCATTCCAAACTCCAAACGAATCAATAACATGTTATTCCATATTCCATCCAGTGGTGGTATCTCAAGCAAAATAATGAATATAAAAACACATTTGCAGTGAGAAGGAGCATCAAATGGAAAAATATCTCAATCATATACCTATTTACCACACTTAAGAAAGTTGGTGAGGACTACACAAGAGTACATGGGAACATGTACATATCCTTAATACCACTAGTTCATATTTCAATTTCAAGTTCAATGAACACATCAACGGATCACCAAATGGTGTGTTTTCAAGCCTAATCCAGGCTGCTTGTAGACCACCATACACCTAAATGTCACTGACCTTAGCACATGAAAATGAAAATGAATAATCGTATATCGAATAAAGAGCAACGGAGGCCAAAATATATTGTCATGTGGAAGCGCTTGATCAAATGATCAGTGTCATAGACTATGTATTCGTAGAAGACCAAAGAACTGATTCCACCATATACACCAACAGTCGTTGATCCAAGAGGAAAGAACATCTGGAACATAACAAAAGGATTTTCAAATTCAAAAAATAAAGAGCAGAGATGCAGTCAAAGATAAACAACATAATTGAAATGAATAAATAAAGACATGGATATAGTCAAATTCCCTCTATCTGTTTAAGAATCATAATTAGCAAAATCCATCAGAATTAAAAATAAAAAGACAGAGATAGAGGAAATAAGGGATATGGACATACGATGAAAGGGACCAGTGAGAGAAAGGGAGAAGGTCAAATTGCTCCTCGGTAGGTTGTTGATGAAGAGTAAAGAAGGTGATGAGAAACCAGAGTGCTCAACACAATCAAGTGTGGTCGAAATTCCGTAGACCTGACAGATGAATACCAACAAGTTGGTGCAGAGGTCCCCCTGGTGTGGCTGTGTTGGTGACTGCGTTTTCGCCTGAGATTGGGGAATGTGGTGCTAGAGTTCTAAAAATTGAAAGAAAATCTGGGAAAAACTTAGGGTTCCAATTTGAGTGAAATGAAATTATTTAGGATGTGGATTTTGGAAAATGAAATTTGGAATTTTTATTGTAAAGATTTTTTTTTTTTTATTTTTGGAGGGAATGATGTGGCATATGGCTGATATGGCAGATGAGGTGGCTCTGCCATGTCAGCTGTCATGTCATGTTGTAAGGGGATGTTGTGAGGGAGTGATGTTGTATAGTGTTTTGATAGTTGGTGTATCTTCTTTCTCCGTAAGTTTGACACGTTTTTTACTCGATGCGTCTAATTTGGGTCGAGGCAAAAGTCAAAGTCTACACATATCGTTCAATTTAAAGTACACTCAGACGCGTCAACGGATATTACACGGCAGACAACGTGATTGAAGATTTGAACGGAGCTTTTTGCTTCCAAGTGGAAGATTATAGCTCTCTACTCAATCAATCCCTAAATATACTAATAATATTAATTATAAACTATTTTATTTTTATTTTTAGAAAATTGGAAACGTGACAATCACTCTATAGATCACGATTTGCCATATTTGTAGAGTTAACGTTTTTTTATACTCAATAATAGTTTAATACCTTTTTTATCCACTATTTTTAAAATACTATTCAACATAAACATGAATAAACTCATTCATGTTGTTAGATCTTTTAAGAGAAGGATCGATGATCTTTTGGTAGTGAATATTAGATTTTAGTGATTAAATTGATTGAAATTTCTTGGAAGGGACAGTTGAGCAAACCTAATCGTTCAATTACCGATAATTGGCGAGATCACAGGGTAAGTTGAGGAGTTTTGTAAGTATAAGGAGAAGAGAATGGTGATGATGTGTATAACGATGCATCGAAACAAATATAATTTGGAGTAAAGTAGTATTTTAAAAATCTTGATGTATAATGTATAACATTAAGTATTACCTATTATTTGTGGGAAAAATTTACTCTAATTTATAAGGTATAATATTAGTATAAAGAGTGGTAATTACTTAGTGAGAGAAACTCAAATTAATTATACGTAATCTTAATTATTATCGAAATGCAATTAGTTTTAGTACTTCAATTATGAACGGACCATCTAGAAACGGAATCGCCGCCCTCATTTCCCTCGTTTTTCTCAGATTGATCCTCCTAAATTTTCTACCCCCACAAACACTCGCTAATCCTCGCCCACCCTACAAAAGAAAAATAGTCTTTCTTTCAAGAACCGCTCGTACAGTCTCACGTTATGAACTCAAAAACACCCACCAAGTTGATCACAAGGAACAATAAAAACAACTATGAAACCAACAGGAAGTTCTTGTTGTGTTGTACCCGCCGGGGACTCCGCTTGTTGCCATGAACATGAACATGAAATGAAGATGGTTCCGTTCGTTCCGTCTGGGGTTGTGCGGACGGTTGAAGGAGCCGTTTTTAATTACGCTGCTGTTGGTGGTGAGTATGAAAGTGATGATGCAGAAATATTGAAGGACGGTAAGAGGAAGAAGAAGAAAGGCGGTGCAAGAAGCTTCTGCGAATTTTCAAGGCCATTTTGTTCGAAACTTCAATGGTTAGTTTTTTTTTTTTTCTTTGTAATTTTGTTGTTTTCGATTGGATTTTGTGAGATTATTGATTTTTGTTCATATTTTTGTTTTGTTAAGAACAGGCCAAGAAGCTTAAAAAGAGAAAACTGTAAAGAAGCAGAAGCAAGCATAAAGGCGCCACATTACAGGCAGACCCGAAAAATCGGAATCATAATGAAAGTTCATTAGTCAAAAATATGGGCATTGGAAGTGGAAAATTTTTCGCTACTACTTCTTCATAGGTTTTTCTTCGAATTCGTCTGGAATCCATCATCTTCATATGTTCTTCATCACTTTCCTCAATTCAAGTGCTCTTCAACAAGTCGTTTTCCGATCGAATCAAGTCATTTTCTGATAAAACCAAATCTTTCCGATCGGAACAAGTCCTTTGTGATAAAACCAAATTGTTTTTGGATCGGAACAAATCGTTCCGGTTAGCACATTCGAGAGAGTAGTACCAATGAAGGAGAAGCAGGAGGAGAATATCAAATGCAAGAGCATGGAAAAGGGTGTTATGGCCCCACATTGGGTTGTGTTTTATTCTAATTAGCTCTTTGTTTTGGTCTTATGGGGTAAATGTTGTGCCATTTTCTCACTTCAACCTGGCTTTTTTGGTGCCTCGATGGGCTATTGCCAAAAATCCATCACAAAATCTGGTTATCCATTCACCCCAGCTTGATTCAGACTATAAGAGAAGATCATAATCGGAGGATTACTCGAAAGGCACAATTCGCGAATCGATAACTCTCGATATTCTGATACGAAAATATAATAATAAAATGAAGTGAGTTTGAGCCTACAAAAGTTGCAAACGGTTCAACTGTATTTTTCTACTAGTGTAGGTTTTGATTTGCCTGTTTAGTTCAGGCTCTGGGTTCATGTAAATTTGTGGGAGCCAAGGAATTAGGGGATTCTACAGTTTTTTTTTTTTTTTTTTTTTTTTCTGGAGGAGAAGATGAATTTTTTTGTTTGAAGTGTGTAAATAATGGAAAATGCACAGCATTTTGTCTGATATTTTACTTATAAAGCAATCTCTTAGAAAGAAAGAGATTAACGAATCAGTACTTATTACCTGATTTTTTTTTTTTTTTTTTTGGCTAATTTATGCACATTCAACTAATCTGAGGACTCCAATTAACGATCGGATAAATCTTAGTGCTATCCTATTAGTAACCAAGTGGACCAACTTAAGACCTCTTATACCAGAGTCCCTATTCAATTACTCGACCACCTAACAGTGGTTCTTATTATCTGCATTGCTCTTCTATTTCTTTACCGTTTTTATCTGCAGATTTCAACTAGCTTTTGCGTTCAACAGATTCATCCTGTGACTATTTATTGAAATATTATGTGAAAGTCTTATCGATATCAATAAAGATATGCTGATAAATTTCTTCACAACTCAGTGACAGTTGATAATTGGTTTTGATGAAATTCATTAGAAAAAATTCATCAGAAACCAATTATCAACTGTCACGTTGGGTTTATAAGGGAACGTTTGTAAGATTCATTTATCAACATTGTATTGTTCTATGGATATCCATACGATACGTATTTACATTTTTATGCTGATTGTATATACATTTTAGGCATATAATTTTTTTTTTCAATATTTACTATAGTTTTGATGAGAATAATTTCATTTAATAAATACTTTTGATTGTTAAAGAAAAAATCCCGTGAAACACCTAATATATGTTTTTCTATAGAAAATAACTTTTCGATAAGGCTTTTGTGATATTTTTTTGTTTTAATTAGGCACTAAAAATATTAATATATATACACAATATACAACTAGTTAATAAAATACGACATTAAGTAAAAAATTAAGTTTTGTGTTTAAGATGCACAGTTAATTAATCCAAAACGAAAACACTTTTTGGTACATTTGTAAAAATTCCTTTATTTTTTAATATCGTTTTCTATTTAAAGTATTGTTTTTTGACCAAAATGAGTTGTTTTGATCTGCGTAGGCCACTAATAAAAAAAATAATAATAATTAATATTTCAAAAATTAGGATTTTTTATTGTTTTGTACATCAAATTAATAAAAAAAAATATTTTTCAATAAAAATAAGCCTTATACTCAACAATAAAAAGAATAAAAAAAAAAAAAAAAAGGTTTTCTATAATGACCACAATTATACGGAAAGAAAAAAGAAAAATTGAGCCACTGGACTAAAAACCCGGTAATATTGCCGGCAGACTCAGCTTCTCACTAGTCACTAAATCTTAAACCCTGTTAAAAACCCCTTATCCATAATAAATCCTTCTTGAAAAATTCCAAAATGGCCACCACCAAACTCTTCTTGAGACCAAACCCTCTCCCTTCCACAATCTTCTCTTCTTCATCAATTCACGTTCTCTTCGCTAAATCTAAATTTACTACCACTTTCTCCCTCTTCTCCGCCGTCTCCGCCACCACCACCGCCATCACCAACCACGCCCTCCCTTACGGCCCCTCTCTTCTGAAAGGCAAAACCCCAGAATTCCCCAAAAAACTGCAAGATGAAGCTAATCACCTCTTCGATGAATCCCAATTCACCAGAATTTTCGACATTGCCGCCGTCCGTGTCCCTGCAAAAGATTGTTTTGCCCTCGAGTCCCGCCTCCGTGGCCACCTTCTCAACTGGCCACGTGTCCGCAACATTGCTCGTGTGCCTGGTGATGATGTGGATACTCAATTCATCACTCTGTTACAAGATAATACTAAAAATGACACTGATGAAGAAAGTTTAGATCTTCTGAATTCTGTTTTGTATAGGGATAAGTTAGTTAAGAGCTTTAACGTTCGGGGGTTTGTTAAGTTTAGGAATTTGGCGAAGATTTCGCGGCCGAAAAAGAGGAAGAAGAAGGAAAAGAAGGGGGAAGAAGAGAAGGGAAAGGGGAGGAAAAAGGAGTTTTGTGTGGTGGAGGTTGTTGAAAAGGAAAGTGAAGAAATGAAGGGATTGTTAGGGGAGGAATTTAGAGGTGGAGAGAAATGGAAAGGAGCAACAAGATTGTTGCTTTTAGATGAAGAGTTAGCGGATAAAGATGTGGAGGAGTTTCCTGAAGCAATCAAGGTCTCTTGTGAGTTCATTTTAATTGTGAATTTGGTTTTTGTGTTGCTTTAGTTTATGCATAATGTGTTGATAATTTAAGAATAGAAGAGCTTCCTTACATAGTTATAGGGGTGGTGCTTTGTTTGGCTTGCCATGCTGTTGGTTAGTAAAGAACATTTCAATGGTGAAAGGAATCTAGGTTTTTTTTGAGTTCATTTTAATTACGAATTTGGTTTTTCTATTGGTTTATTTTTTTCATAATGTGTTGATAATCTTCGTGTAGAATAGCATGATATGTAATTATGCACACTATGCTCTGGTTGATTTGCCATGCTGTTATTAATCAAGATTATTTCAATTGTGACTCTTATCTGAAAGTTCTATAGCCATTTTCTTGAGGAAGTTCTTGTTGGGTAACTCTCAGTTCCTCCTTGGTTCATGGGCGTTAAATGTGTGGGACATTATCATTTGTAGCAGTCTGTTGTCTGCTTTTGGGCTTCTCTTTTGTTAATTTGTTGTGTGAAATCTATTGAGGTTTATTGCTATTACTGCTTATTTCTTTGCTGATGTTGTTATATATAATGCTATTATCTGTGCTTCAGGTTGTATTTGAAGAAGATAAGAGTAAAAATAGAATACCAACTTTAGAGCTTGTGAGATGCAGGCTCACATTGTATTATGATTACTGGCAAATGGATGAGGTATTCCAATCTGAATTTTTTCTGTGTACACTTATATATTATTATTATTATTTTTTTTTTTTTTTATTTTATTATTATTATTTTTTTTTTTTTGGTGCTATTCCTTGCTTTTATCATTTTTGGTTCACATTGTTCTTCTGTCATTTATGACAACGTTGTTAGTTTGTTAAAGTGATTCACATAATTACGTCCAGACAAAATTGATAACTTAGGTCCTGTTTCAATTAATAAATTTAAGAGTAAATAAGCATCAAAGCAGCATATGTATATCTGTTATATATGGTAAGGGCAAAATATGTATGAACATGAAGTTGCCATTGACATCTGCACACTAGATTTTAATAATTGATCATTGGGGTTGGATAAAACTGGAACTCTTAATTTTAGGTATTTTTCGCTTAACTGTTTGTTTTGGGTCAGTTTCAGTTATGATATTGGTATAACGTTTACCTTTTTGTTTTCAATCTCTCTCAAAAACTGAACCATGCTCACTTGTATCTTTAAACATTGAAATATCACAATTTCTCCATAGACCAAATCCTATGTATTCACTTTCTTCATTAGGGCTCTGCTGCTAGGAAGGAATGGTATTTGTCACATTGAGAATTGCTGAAAGTTTGAATGCTGATGAATTATTAACTCCTGGAGTTACCTGCAGATATTGGAGGCCTTGTTACCAGAGGGTATGATTGTCCCTTCATCTTTTGAAACAGTTGGGCATATCGCACACCTGAACCTTAGAGATGAGCATTTACCTTGCAAAAATCTCATAGCAAAGGTGCTTAGTACTAGTTACATGTTGTTTACTGTTTTGACCTTATGGGTTTGAGAACTGGCTTCTAAAGAAGGTTTTGCTCTTATTCAGGTAGTTTTGGATAAAAACAAGCCAAAAATACAAACAGTTGTCAATAAAATTGATGCTATCCATAATGACTACAGAACCATGCAACTTGAGGTTCTAGCTGGAAATCATTCCCTTGTGACTGTCGTAGTTGAGAATGGATTACGATTTAATGTTGATTTAGCTACAGTGTATGTTCTCCTTTCTTTTCAAGCTAATGAAAAATTCATCTGAATCTTCTAATGTCTGCTCTCTGTAGTGAGCATAATGTCATATCTTGACTCAACAATTGTAGTGCTCTCTTTTAGCAAAACAAGCTCATGTAACAGCTAGTTTCATGCGTTGTTCCTTTATTTGAGTAAGGCATCTGGTTCTGATTTGTTACTGACTTTGAGTGACACATTTATAGCTAAATCTCAATTTATCTTCTCTGGAGTCTTTGTCTAACACCTTTATTGACTGCATTTCCTGTGTCACAGTAATATATCAGAAAGAATCACCTGTATTTTTCATATAACCTTAAATGTGATTTCATATTGGTATCATCAAGAAGTCATCTGGTATACATCATGTTATCTACTAAACCATTTCTGAGACTATTACTAGATGGTTAGCAGCATCTCTTTCAGAGAGTCAAAGATGTGTCTAATTATGAATCTGTCGACCACAACCTGTGTGTTCAATCCTTACTAGTGTCAAAAAAATAGAAAACAACAAGTATCTTATGAATCCCTCTTTTCATGCAGATATTGGAATTCAAAGCTTGCAACTGAAAGGCAAAGGCTTCTAAATGGTTTCAATCACAAAGATGTTGTTTGTATGTTTGTATCTTGATTGTATTTACTATGGGAGCTTGCAGATTATTATTGATACTCTCTAAAATCTCGGTCTTTTGTAACTATTGTTATGTTTCTGGGGTGGAGTTTGCTTGCGTCTCTAATCCATACATTTTTTGGTCATGTCTTTTGGGGTGTTCTTAGTATATGTTATTTGTTAGTTAATGTTCTCATATCTGATTTTTCTGTGACCTCTCCTGTCTCGCAATATATTTTCTTTATATAAATATTCTGTAAGACCAAAACAAGAATTGAATTTATTCCGTAGGGATTTGCACTGGAATTGACGAACAACCAATATCAATATTAGTGTTTATTAGTATTGAATAGAAATTGAAACGGGGCCCAACCGAGATGGATACATGTGTGCACTTATACTTTTTTGTTTCTTTTTTTCTGATTTGACAGGTGATGTTTTTGCTGGTGTTGGTCCAATAGCTATATCTGCGGCAAAGATAGTGAAACGTGTATATGCTAATGATTTGAATCCTTATGCAGTCGACTACCTTGAAAGAAATAGTGTCCTCAACAAACTCGAGAGAAAGATTGAGGTGTGGTCTGGAAACTTCTCTTTTGAGCATTTTATTGTGAAAATCTTCTTTTTGGTTTATTAAATAAAAGAATAAGTGGCCATGTACTCCTTTGAATGGAAGATCTTGTATGTTACTTTCTAGGTCTATAACATGGATGGCAGGAGGTTCATTGATGCTATGTTTGCTAGTGACAAAGCTCAGTCCATAACACAAGTGGTTATGAATTTACCAAATGATGCAGCAGAATTTTTAGGTGTGTTGCCAAACCCATTACCAAACTCTCTTTCATTCTATACTCATGAGTAAATTGAGAGTAAGAGTTGCTCATATAATTTGATCAGTTCTGTTCAGTTACAATTTGCATTGACAAAATTCTTGCCATCACTTATCAATTTTATGGAACTTCATAAAGGTCTGTCTGTCAGAAGTTTTATAGAATTGAGAGGATGGGCAGATCTTCCATGGCCCTTGCCCAAAATTTTTTATAATACAGTTGCAACACCCCCCGGTCCCCAGTGGGCCCGGTGGCGCCGAAACAATTTTGCTGGCTTTTACAAGTCGGCCTAAAGTCTAAACTTTAGATCTGCCCATGTGGCAATTTAATTTAGTCTACATTCATGTTGGTTAAATACTTATGAATTGCATACTGCTAGTTTTGAAAGGTATCAGTTATCATTGAAGTGAGCCGGCCGTCATGTTTGCTAGTGCTTTCTTGCCGCATCTTCTTACATTAGCTATGATGTGCTTATGTGGAAGATTTTATAAAAGAAAGGTGGTTTTTGAGAACATCACCTAAGAAGTGATGTTTTCTGTTGATTATAACTCTTGAAAATCTATCCCTCTTCTTACATTTTCACCTTTATGAACAGATGTTTTTAGAGGAATATACAGAGATAGACCCAAGGACACAAAATTCACATTCGTCTGGGGTTGTGCGGACGGTTGAAGGAGCCGTTTTTAATGTACGCTGCTGTTGGTGGTGAGTATGAAAGTGATGATGCAGAAATATTGAAGGACGGTAAGAGGAAGAAGAAGAAAGGCGGTGCAAGAAGCTTCTGCGAATTTTCAAGGCCATTTTGTTCAAACTTCATGGTTAGTTTTTTTTTTTTTTTTTCTTCTTTGTAATTTTGTTGTTTTCGATTGGATTTTGTGAGATTATTGATTTTTGTTCATATTTTTGTTTTGTTAAAACAGGCCAAGAAGCTTAAAAAGAGAAAACTGATAAAGAAGCAGAAGCAAGCATTAAAGGCGCCACATTACAGGCAGACCCGAAAAATCGGAATCATAATGAAAGTTCAATTATCAAAAATATGGGCATTGGAAGTGGAAAATTTTTCGCTACTACTTCTTCATCAGGTTTTTCTTCGAATTCGTCTGGAATCGCATCATCTTCATATGTTCTTCATCACTTTCCTCAATTCAAGTGCTCTTCAACAAGTCGTTTTCCGATCGAATCAAGTCATTTTCTGATAAAACCAAATCGTTTCCCGATCGGAACAAGTCCTTTGTGGATAAAACCAAATTGTTTTTGGATCGGAACAAATCGTTCCGGTTAGCACATTCGAGAGAGTAGTACCAATGAAGGAGAAGCAGGAGGAGAATATCAAATGCAAGAGCATGGAAAAGGGTGTTATGGCCCCAACATTGGGTTGTGTTTTATTCTAATTAGCTCTTTGTTTTGGTCTTATGGGGTAAATGTTGTGCCATTTTCTCACTTCAACCTGGCTTTTTTGGTGCCTCGATGGGCTATTGCCAAAAATCCATCACAAAATCTGGTTATCCATTCACCCCAGCTTGATTCAGACTATAAGAGAAGATCATAATCGGAGGATTACTCGAAAGGCACAATTCGCGGAATCGATAACTCTCGATATTCTGATACGAAAATATAATAATAAAATGAAGTGAGTTTGAGCCTACAAAAGTTGCAAACGGTTCAACTGTATTTTTCTACTAGTGTAGGTTTTGATTTGCCTGTTTAGTTCAGGCTCTGGGTTCATGTAAATTTGTGGGAGCCAAGGAATTAGGGGGATTCTACAGATTTTTTTTTTTTTTTTTTTTTTTTCTTGAGGAGAAGATGAATTTTTTTGTTTGAAGTGTGTAAATAATGGAAAATGCACAGCATTTTGTCTGATATTTTACTTATAAAGCAATCTCTTAGAAAGAAAGAGATTAACGAATCAGTACTTATTACCTGATTTTTTTTTTTTTTTTTTTTGGCTAATTTATGCACATCTCAACTAATCTGAGGACTCCGAATTAACGATCGGATAAATCTTAGTGACTATCCTATTAGTAACCAAGTGGACCAACTTAAGACCTCTTATAACCAGAGTCCTTATTCAATTACTCGACCACCTAACAGTGGTTACTTATTATCTGCATTGCTCTTCTATTTCTTTACCGTTTTTATCTGCAGATTTCAACTAGCTTTTGCGTTCAACTAGATTCATCCTGTGACTATGTTATTGAAATATTATGTGAAAGTCTTATCGATATCAATAAAGATATGCTGATAAATTTCTTCACAAGCTCAAGTGACAGTTGATAATTGGTTTTGATGAAATTCATTAGGGAAAAAATTCATCAGAAACCAATTATCAACTGTCACGTTGGGTTTATAAGGGAACGTTTGTAAGATTCATTTATCAACATTGTATTGTTCTATGGATATCCATACGATACGTATTTACATTTTTATGGCTGATGTATATACATTTTAGGCATATAATTTTTTTTTTCAATATTTACTATAGTTTGATGAGAATAATTTCATTTAATAAATACTTTTGATTGTTAAAGAAAAAATCCCGTGAAACACCTAATATATGTTTTTCTATAGACAAATAACTTTTCGATTAAGAGCTTTTGTGATATTTTTTTGTTTTAATTAGGCACTAAAAATATTAATATATATACACAATATACAACTAGTTAATAAAATACGACATTAAGTAAAAAATTAAGTTTTGTGTTTAAGATGCACAGTTAATTAATCCAAAACGAAACACACTTTTTGGTACATTTGTAAAAATTCCTTTATTTTTTAATAGTCGTTTTCTATTTAAAAGTATTTTTTTGACCAAATGAGTTGTTTTGATCTGCGTAGGCCACTAATAAAAAAATAAAATAATTAATATTTCAAAATTAGGATTTTTTATTGTTTGTACACAAATTAATAAAAAAAAATTTTTCAATAAAATAACCTTAAACTCACAATAAAAAGAATAAAAAAAAAAAAAAAAAAAGGTTTTCTAATGACCAAATATACGGAAAGAAAAAAAAAATTGAGCCACTGGACTAAAACCCGGTAATATTGCCGGCAGACTCAGCTTCTCACTAGTCACTAAATCTTAAACCCTGTTAAAAACCCCTTATCCATAATAAATCCTTCTTGAAAAATTCCAACATGGCCACCACCAAACTTTCTGAGACCAAACCTCTCCCTTCCGCAATCTTCTCTTCTTCATCAATTCACGTTCTCTTCGCTAAATCTAAATTTACTACCACTTTCCCCTCTTCTCCGCCGTCTCCGCCACCACCACCGCCATCACCAACCACCCCTCCCTTACGGCCCCTCTCTTCTGAAAGGCAAAACCCCAGAATTCCCCAAACAACTGCAAGATGAAGCTAATCCCCTCTTCGATGAATCCCAATTCACCAGAATTTTCGACATTGCCGCCGTCCGTGTCCCTGCAAAAGATTGTTTTGCCCTCGATTCCCGCCTCCGTGCCACCTTCTCAACGGCCACGTGTCCGCAACATTGCTCGTGTGCCTGGTGATGATGTGGATACTCAATTCATCACTCTGTTACAAGATAATACTAAAAATGACACTGATGAAGAAGTTTAGATCTTCTGAATTCTGTTTTGTATAGGGATATGCTAGTTAAGAGCTTTAACGTTCGGGGTTTGTTAAGTTTAGGAATTTGGCGAAGATTTCGCGGCCGAAAAAGAGGAAGAAGAGGAAAAGAAGGGGAAGAAGAAAGGAAAGGGGAGGAAAAAGGAGTTTTGTGTGTGGAGGTTTTTGAAAGGAAAGTGAAGAATGAGGGATTTGTAGGGGAGGAATTTGAGGTGGGAGAAATGGAAGGAGCAACAGATTGTTGCTTTTAATGAGATTTAGCGATAAAGATGTGGAGGAGTTTCCTGAAGCAATCAAGGTCTCTTGTGAGTTCATTTTAATTGTGAATTTGGTTTTTGTGTTGCTTTAGTTTATGCATAATGTGTTATAATTAAGAATAGAGAGCTTCCTTACTAGTTATAGGGGTGGTGCTTGTTTTGCTTGCCATGCTGTTGGTTAGTAAAGAACATTTCAATGGTGAAAGAATCTAGGTTTTTTTTGAGTTCATTTTAATTACGAATTTGATTTTTCTATTGGTTTATTTTTTGCATAATGTGTTGATAATCTTCGTGTAGAATAGCATGATATGTAATTATGCACACTATGCCTGGTGATTTGCCATGCTGTTATTAATCAAGATTTTCAATTGTGACTCTTATCTGAAAGTTCTATAGCCATTTTCTTGAGGAAGTTCTTGTTGGGTAACTTTCAGCTCCTCCTTGGTTCATGGGCGTTAAATGGTGGGACATTATCATTTGTAGCAGTCTGTTGTCTGCTTTTGGGCTTCTCTTTTGTAATTTGTTGTGTGAATCTGTTGAGGTTTATTGCTATTACTGCTTATTTCTTTGCTGATGTGTTATATATAATGATTTATCTGTGCTTCAGGTTGTATTTGAAGAAGATAAGAGTAAAAATAGAATACCAACTTTAGAGCTTTGAGATGCAGGCTCACATTGTATTATAGTTACTGGCAAATGGATGAGGTATTCCCAATCTGAATTTTTTCTGTGTACCTTATATATTATTTATATTTTTTTTTTTTTTATTTATTATATTATTTTTTTTTTTTTTTGTGCTATTCCTTGCTTTTATCATTTTGGTTCACATTGTTCTTCTGTCATTTATGAACACGTTGTTAGTTTGTTAAAGTGATTCACTAAATTACGTCCAGACAAAATTGATAACTTAGGTCCTGTTTCAATTAATAAATTTAAGAGTAAATAAGCATCAAAGCAGCATATGTATATCTGTTATATATGGTAAGGGCAAAATTGTATGAACATGAAGTTGCCATTGTCTGCACACTAATTTTAATAATTGTCATTGGGGTTGGATAAAACTGGAACTCTTAATTTTAGGTATTTTTCGCTTAACTGTTTGTTTTGGGTCAGTTTCAGTTATGATATTGGTATAACGTTTACCTTTTTGTTTTCAATCTCTCTCAAAACTGAACCATGCTCACTTGTATCTTTAAACATTGAAATATCCAATTTCTCCATAGACCAAATCCTATGTATTCACTTCTTCATTGGGGCTCTGCTGCTAGGAAGGAATGGTATTTGTGTCACATTGAAATTGCTGAAAGTTTGAATGCTGATGAATTATTAACTCCTGAGTTACCTGTCAGTATTTGGTATCTCAAGCAAAATTAATGAATAATAAGAAACACATTTGCAGTGAGAAGGAGCATCAAATGGAAAAATATCTCAATCATATACCTATTTACCACACTTAAGAAAGTTTGTGAGGACACTAACACAAGAGTACATGGGAACATGTACAATATCCTTAATACCATAGTTCATATTTCAATTTCAAGTTCAAATGAACACATCAACGGATCACCAAATGGTGTGTTTTCAAGCCTAATCCAGGCTGCTTGTAGACCACCATACACCTAAATGTCAGCTGACCTTAGCACATGAAAAATGAAAATGAATAAATTCAGTATATCGAAATAAAGAGCAACGGAGGCCAAAATATATTTGTCATGTGGGAAGCGCTTGATCAAATGATCAGTGTCATAGACTATGTATTCGTAGAAGACCAAAGAACTGATTCCACCATATACAACAACAGTCGTTGATCCAAGAGGAAAGAACATCT